ACACAGCGGCATATCCCTTGAGTATGTTATGCAGTTTATTATTTCACAGCACCTTAAGGTATGCCAGAAACTTTCTACCAGAATACTACTTGACCCATCTCACCCACTGTACCCTCATCTTAGTCAATGTATCCCCACATCTAGCACTCGTTCCATGTATAAACATCTAGGAGCACGCACTACTACATACAAGTCTTCTATAATACCGTACCTGGCACGGTTTCTTACCAACGCTGATCTTTTCATTGGGACTCTTAGACAAAATCTTTGCTGAATTGGCTTTTTGTAAATGCAACATATCATCATACGTTTTGTTACCATGTAACTTCCAAAGAAGAGTGATTGTGTAGTAGCTGAATGTTCATCCCCTATAGAGATGACTTGACTTGACTTGAACCTATGAGGCCTGAGCACGGAGGGAATGGGATTATTTCCAGTTCGATTGTTGCATATTCAATCGAGATTGAGCACATGGTGGACGCTAATTCGGATTTCACCTTCGTTTATCAAGTCTCACAACACATCCAAAGCTAATCCAATTAAAACGCTGGCCACAGCCGAGTCCATCATCATTCGCCTGTTAAAACCGGAAGTGTGCTAAAAAACATTTTGTCCAAGCACCCGCACCCCACCCTCTGACCCAAAGTGGATGTCACGCACGAACGTTTGACTACCCAAATCAATTGCTGATGCCTACGTAACCCGTTCTTATAGGAACAAGACAATCTTAGAGACCAACTCGACCTAATTGTTTGATTTCAATACAACACCCTCCCGTTATTTTCTTACATAAATATCTTTGTAATGGCTTGAAAGCAACCACTCCGAAAATATGGTTGCCTACTATCTGTGTTCTGACTTAGACGCTGGGTTTAGTTTGTCTTCACCAAACTCTCTTGTTCGATGTCTAAGGACCAGGTAGGATACTGGTATTTAAGTTCGAAATCTGAAGTCTACCAGCCTAAACTGTTAAGCAAAAAGCAAAAACTTGTCGTTATCCACGTTGTGTATGAATTGCAACTTGGAAGCTCAGTGGTGATAAATGCAACAATAGACTCTCCTGGTTCATCGTGCTCACTTCCGCTGCAAACATAAGAGCAATTGTCTCACGAGTGCCTCACAAACAATGAGACTTGGATAGGATAGAGTTTTACGGCGTTTACCATCGTGTCCCGAACCCTGCCCCGATACTTTGCTTTGAGGCTGGGACAACTAAAATTAAGTTTGGTGATCATTGAGGACTTCCGCATTTGTGTCGGTAGATAGTAACCAATAACCACCACCATAGGCAAAAACCACATGTACAGTGTTGTAAAGTTTTGATGTTTGAGTGCTTGCGTTCGTTGTCATCGTGATTATCAGAGTGAATAACCCATGATTGCTCCACGAACCAGTCATGACTAGTGCCGCTACCTTCCTGCCCGTGTTTCCCAAACCAACCCCACCACACACAAGGAACGGGAACCCCACCAAAATCAAATGTCGCATCGGATAAAACCCCTGCATGCCAAGCCTTGCTGTTATGCCCCAATTATGGTTTTCATATTCACATTGTAGTTCAGTTGCTGTCGCACTTGCGTATGCTCGACGATTGGCCCATCTATCTGGGAGAACTAGGCGAACCGGGGACCCAACTCTGGCAGTCACGACTGGACTGAATCAGTGCCTACGTGCGTGTACTGTTGTGATTTGGAGACAATTTACTCGAATGGTCTCAGCCTGTCGGTCACACAATTGTGCATAGACCACTAACTGATTGATCTTTGTGCTTTTAGTCGCAGACATTTTGAAATGCGTGGGGTGAGAAACATACTTCGGTAACTTATGCTAGCTTCTGGAGTGAGAACAATTATGAGAGTTAATAAAACTATTTTGTGACCAAATTATCTTTTTTCATTGGGTTTTAGTTGATTCTCGTCAGCTTGATTACCCCATTCGCCGGAATTTACTGACTCAGGAGCAACCCTTGCACTTTTCTGTGAGCTCCATTGCTACAGAATTTTCCCTAATTATTCTTACAAAATTCTTCATTTGGTTGTTGTGAGCCGAATGTTTCAAGAAATTATGTCAAATTTGTGTTTCCTCTTGAATAGCAAAATTTTCGTTCCTTGTTACCGTGTTTTGTTACGATATAAGTGTGCAATGTAAGTAGACTGGTTTACAATCTGCGAGATAAATAATAGTTTGACTAGATATCTCTCCAGTAACTAAATTGCAGTGCTAAACTGAAGATTTTAATGGTCTACAGAGGAATAAAAATAAACCGGGTTTTTTCGATGGTGAAGACTTTGATGCAGTTAGTTTAGTTAGAAACGAATAACATGCAACTAAACAGAAAAACAATGAAATCACAATTTATGCAAAATTCCCGTAAAGTAAACCTAAGATATTTTTATTTTGTTTAAGCATTCATCACTCCGACAATTTTCGGTAAGTCCAAACTCTTTTCATTGAGCAAAGTGTTACGTTATTTTCTTCGATCTGTTGCAAAATGTACTCCACACGTCAGTAACGAGAAGTTCGCAATGTTTCAAAATCGGTAACTTATTCATCAATGATCTTATGTCCATTGCATGTTTAATGTCTCTCTTGTGGTAAATTACCCACGGCCTGCGATTAGCAGAGACGAATGTTGCCGGGTGAATCCATGATTTGCGAATGGGAGAATGGCCATTTCAGTGGTTAACCGTGAACAGGTGGGGATAATTTCACTGGATAGGTGGTCACCAACTATGAGGGATGGGGCTCGAGAATGCAGTGTGTTTTCGTCTGGCAAACGATATCAAAGTAACAAAAATCAAAAAACATTCTTATAAATTATCGTGAGTAGTCTGAATCTGGTTGTTCATCAAACAAGGTTATGGGTATCATCCTGTAGTGCCACGGGTAGCATCTGGCTGTGCAAGGGTTAGAATTAAATCCTCGAAGCAAAAGGCCGGGTGGTAATGGGAGAACGTTTTGTGTCTTATTCCCCCAAAGCTGGATGAATTCATCAATAAAGCTAATTTATTCACGTGCTGAAGAAAAGTGACCCACTCAGTAAGTAACCTTGGAACCATGGAAGTTGGACCTTTGATTCCGTCAGCTATTCAGATCTCACTTTCTGTGCTTGAATATAAATTGCTTCACCAAAATACATCGTGATATCATGGGTTTGTTTCATCACCCCATTCATTAAATAGATTTTTCCGACTCCAACTTTGTATAAGAGAAACGGAGTGGAAAATATGGTATCCCCCAACTCGGTGAACTGAGTTTTCTACTTTCCATCGGCTTGCAACGAGATTGAAATTCGAAACACGGCGAGAGAATTACTGCGTGTATAACACGTGGTTGATACTACCAAACTATGGATTCGCGAATTTAACAGTCCGTGTATTGACACATCATGGTGTGCTTGAGAAGTTCTCTCATGGCGTCTATCTTAAAGTACAATTATTCAATTACAGCTTTGAACTCTGATCTGGACTATTCGAGCCTTGGCAAATATGCAGTGCACAGTTCAGTCCAGCACACATTGCCCCCAGTTTTGTTCTTTGGTATCTGTAATTCAACAATCAAGGTATCAGATGATGGTCACACCAATCAAACTAGGGGGTTAGCTAATTCATATTAGTTCCTTTTTCATAAGGATAATTACGAGCACATAAATCGCTGAATATATCTTCAATGGTAAGGGTGATCAAAATATTTCTGTGATGGTTACCAGATAACACTGAATAATTGATTTACTCTTGTTGTGACTCCGCTGGAGTGCGTACTTATCTCATATCTCTGCTGGAACTCGAGTTACGGGTAAAATCCTTTACCCGTAAATTAAGAGTTGAACATCTTCTGTGCGTTGCAGCATCGTTTGCACTAGGAATGACCTTCTTTAGTCCGTTCTAATCAATGGATATCAATTGATTGTTGATCGATTTTATTCGGACCATAAATTTCAATTATCGCCAAAGTTTTAAGCGATTATGGTTATAGTCCTCGAAGGAACACAAAATTGGTGTACAAAAAAGGAGAAAAATCTGTTCAGTGTTTTTGGTTAACTATGAGCTGAAAGTACTCCTTCACTTTAGCGTTGGCCCAAGCACCGTAGGTATTTTTGGTATCGAAATCGATGAATGCTAAATGGAAAATTAACCACTTCTGTTTATATCGGGTGGAACACTGGGCGAAATATGATCCACTGAGTGAACACAAAATATACCAACGCATACTACTTTTATGTACCATTTAATTTGTTTCCAAATCGCTTGATTGTCCATTACATTTTCTCGCAATGTAAAGCATTCGATCCGACAGAACTGGTTCAAGTCACTTTGTGGATGCGTTCGAAAACCCTGAATTCGTCTTGGATTCCTGACTGTCTTACATATCATGAAGAAGTGACTGCTAAGCTACAGGAAATTGTGAGTCCATTTTTGTTCATTGTCAACACAAGCATACATTACCATTTTCATTGACGTGTGAAGGATGCATAATGGTGATCTGTAGAGCTAGTGGGATAGGTATATGCATGAGAACTGGATTCTTCATGGAGAGACTGCTATTTGAGGCAATAGGAGAAGTTTGTTTATTCCAATGTTTATTCTCGCTAATCATTCCCCCCATTGAAATATGTGTTATGGAGTGGAATGTTTTATTCATTCAGCCAGAAACAACGATATTTAAACAGGTAAGTCAATACACATATAACTAGAAAAATTCCTCTCGTATCCAAAATAAAAAGATTTTCTAATTCACTTGAGTTTTTGTCTTGTCTAATGTTATACATATGCAACCGGTGAGAGTACACGAAAAGAATTCCTCCCGCAATGTTTGTCTTTTGATGTGAGATCAATCACGGGATTTAAATGATATTTAAGTCTCTATTTAACTGATAAACAAACAGGGGTTGATATGGATTGAATGTCATCATAAAAAGAGGTACTAAGTAACGATGTCCGTCTTCAATCAAAAGAACTAAGAATCAAAAGAAGTAATGGCCCCTTTGATTGTAAGTGAATTTATAATCTCCACGATTCGAGGGTTGAGCGTTACGTGTTATTAATTGACCGATGCGTAAAAATTTCTTACTCCTTCAGTTCAGACTACACAGAGATGTAATCATTTTATCCTTTCAAAAATTGCTGTATTTTGTGGAATGGAATCTTCATCGAGTGATGAACAAGCTTTTAAACAAAAAGAAACCACTGTTACAATACTGGCAAAACGGAACAGTGAGCGTGCACAAATGTGAATAAACAACTAAATGTGTTGGAAAGAGTAGAATGAGTACTCTCCTTGTCGGTCACTGTCCGGACAGGATAGGGTACCAACGAGATGCGATAGGGCTGTATTTGGAATGGGTGATGGGGTGTGGTTTTCGCTTTGTTTAGATTGTATTTGCTCTACGGACTTATTTCTGCAACCCCATTTAAATCAGTTTAACCCCGTTCTGGGGAAAACCATACTTGCTGGATCACTTCAAACGGTGCATTGCTCATACAGTGGATTACAGAGCCAGTACTTCGTCGGCATTGTTCATTTGGGATTCACTGCGGACGACTACTCAAAATTTGACAAAGCCGAGGGAAAATTACACGAGCGTCACTTCGGTGACCTGATTCGACCAGTACTACGGGAACATGGTTTTGGTTGTCGAGTGCTTCGTAAGTTTAGACTGAAATTTCCTCTGCAAGATGACTTCCGATTGATATTTAACTAAAGAATAAATAAGATCCTGGTATCTTGAGAGTTCCACAGAATCTGCAAATGCATGTTCTGCCTAATCAAAACACTTCTCCTGTTAACTCAAATATAATTTTTAGCTTTACAAATGCGATAATATTGTAGTATCTGACACCATACTATTATTATTAGATTATTTGAGTTATTTTAAGTTTGTATGCTCCGAATTTGGGGTAGGACTCATGATCTGTGATCTGCCAAAATACAATCAGGAGAATCAAAGAGCTATGTCAACGAAAACTGACCATTCGAGATAAATTTATTTCAGAGAGTTTTAGAGAACGAAGATTTACAAGAGTTAGTTAGAGTTTACTGATAAGAACTTGATCCGCAATTATTTTGTCATTTAAAATGATCATTGTCGAAATTCGATTATTTGAGATAGGTGTATTCAATGTTTGTCCCAAAATAATTATGGTACTTTCAGTATTATGGTCTGTTGCACTGCGCTTACACCAAATCTAGATCGGGAAATTTGTTTGAGGGACTTCATTCGTGCCTTTAGCAGAATTGTAAAAAACATAATTATAAAACTGTTTTGGTTCCGGAGCGCCTCGGGCGTAGCCTTCATCTTCTATTTACTAAAGTAATTGTTTTAAAGAAAAGGATCTATACCTTTTACAAGTCAAGTTGTCCCAATATCATATCAAGATGTCCTCGGATTATTCCAAGACGTCCGGGAATCATTTCAAGTTGACTGATCATTATTTCAAGTTGTCCCAGTATCATTTCAAGATGTCCTCGGATTATTTCAAGTTGTCGCATTGACCTCACCGGTGCTGAAATGATTCCCGGACATCTTGAAATAATCCGGGGGCATCTTGAAAGGATACTGGGATAACTTGAAATAATCGCCAGACATCTTGAAATAATGATCAGTCAACTTGAAATGATTCCCGGACATCTTGATATGATACTGGGACAACTTGACTTGCAAAAGGTATAGTGAATGCCATTTAACTCAAAAGGAAACCGGGACTATTATGACTGAAGCAGACCGGGATTTGGCTATATATCGTCGTTAGAATCAAGTAGCCCGTGGGATTGGTTGGAACCTGGCCAAAAAGGGTTTGTCAAAATTCATTTGCCCTCTGTGAATTTCAAATTTGTTCACTCAGACGTGTACTATCCGGTACAATCTGGATTCAGTCGTAAGTTCAATTGCAAATTGAATCCTGTGAACCTCTTTGAAATCTGCAAAGTTTAATCACTTCCCGTCCCCTTATTCGCGAAATCTTCAGTGCTAATGAAAACATTTTTGATCGATAGGTATAAGCTTTGATGGTTTTGTGGAAAACGAATGTGAACCACTCATCTGGGATTTGAGATATCTTCAAAAATACAAAGAAACCGCTCATGAATTGGCAAACCAAATCAAAACATACGTAAGTTCTTCTTCTATGATTATCAAAGTTGGCTTTTTGGACTGAATGACACTCTTCGCACATAGAGACAATGAGGTGTATTAATACAACAGTAAGGGTTTGGGAATGCTCAGAGGGTTTGCAAATCTATAGACTTTTTCATTTTGTTAAGATCTCGAATCGGCAACTGAAGGTTGTGATTAAGTGTAATTGAGCACTACATTTCACAGTAGGAAAATTAATGACACTAATTCGAAACAGACCGAGCATTCATCAACGTGGTGTAGTCATGGCGACACTGCTGCCACTCTGCGTATATCAGATCATTTCTTCAGATCGTGGCGCGGGACGAGTGGTTAAGGTAATCAAAATAGCGACCTATCGGTCTTGAGTTTGAACCTCGCCACGGCCGTCCGTTTCCCCCATTTCTGCATTCGCCCAGTCAGTCTTCGTATGGCCGCGGGCCCCTTTCTGAATAATTTTGCACATTTGTATGCATGGTGAACACAACAGGTGATGATAAACATTTATTTGCTTTTTAATTTGGAATTCGGAAAACGTTTCTTCATCGGAACACGAATCAATCACTGTTGTAGCTTCCCTGCACATTTCGTAAATACGTTTTTTTTATTTTCAGAGTTATTATCTTAAACTAGCCACTAATCTTCTCGTAGTTTGTAATACGCTGTTCGGAAGGATCGGATTTTAAAGTGGAAGATTCATGAGAACAGAGCTGTTTTTCTTTTCAGTAATGTTTATGAGACATAAAAGTAAAGTCACCGTTTGCACTTGTTAAGTTGCCCAGTTTATTTTGTAAACCAGTATGCTGTTACAAATCATTGGTTTTAAACTTCACATTGCGAAAATTATGAAACAATGTCAGTATTTCAAAGGGAAATGCGAGTTGCGTATCAAAAAAAGGCTCAATGTAACCCTTCGGTTCACTTACGCGCGTCTCTCTTATACTTTTCCCCCGTTATTTTTAGTTAAGAAAAGCACTGAACGCATCCAAGGTGCGGAAAATCGAAAAGCTCACATTTGCCTACTTCTTTCCCCGCACCGATCGACTTCGGGTGAAATTTTACGTGGATATTAAAAATGCTCTCTATTTTGACGGGGATCATGTGCCTAATCTAGACCAAAGGATCAAGCAAACTTTGGTTCGGCAATCCCGATGTTCGGGTGTTCGACTGAGTAATTTTCACGTCGGGAGTAAGTGTATATTTTTTCTACCTACAGGTCTTCTTCAAACTGTAGAAGTTCACATGTCTGTGACAGTATGAAAGTACAAGGGCCATAAAATTCAGGGACGTATAAATTAACTATAATAAATAAATATTAACTATACGCTGTATGATACATCTGAAATAAACCATACGCAGAGAAATATGTGAACTTGGTGTTTGGATTTCCCCAAACTGCTCCAATACATAAGTAGCAGTTTTCTCGGGAATACACGGTTTATGTACACTTTTGTGTCTTTTGTCACACAAAATGTCTTGCCGAGATATTTGTAGAACTAACCTGATCAGTTCGATATTCGTTTACCGATCAACTTGCCATTTGGTTGGTTGTAATATTTTATTTTATAACTCTTATGATGAAACATGCACGCGCATCCCACCAGATTACTCATTTTTTGTAACTTTCTATAGCTCCCTTAAGTGAAGAAAATCTCATTAGGAGTGAGGACCACGTTTTGAGAAAAATTATCGGTTTGTGGACTATGACGTTGCAGGAAAACAGGCAATGTGTTCATCAAAAAGCAAATTAGTCGAGAATGAAAAGAACTTCCACATTCGCGTTTTTGAGTATGGCGGTTACAACCGTATGCAACGAACAGTGGATATTTCCACGCAGTTGCAATGAATAAGGGCACTAGAGGATTTATTACTGCGTATTGATAAGTTTTATCTTATACGCAACAAAGGGGACGTGAACTGGATGACAGAGAAACACCACATCGCTGTTTCCATCATGATGGATTTCATCGGTAGAGGGTACCCATCGATTTAATCTTAGATATAACCTAAGACTTCAGTGGAACACAGTTCCACCACCTACTCAGTCACAGAGCCAGTAATCTGACTGTTTCAGTTTGTTTATACCAAAAACACCGAAAACCTTCTTTAAAAGCTAATGGCAAGTAATCCACTTCGCTCATCCCACGACTCAGCTGGAAACATTTTGAACGTGCCCGCTTCTTACAAGAGAATAGCGGAAGATTTGACTCGATTTATGATGGCTTTCTACAATTAGGGCTTTTTATATTTTTAGTTGATAGCAAATAACATAGCAATCAATTTTTGTGTGTTTTTCCTTCTACAGTTCAAACGGGCACATGGGATCCTGTCAACTTGAACATGTGATTTATGTAAATGAATAAAAACCATTGATTCTGGCAACGATTTGATGTATTGTCGAGATGTCGCGTGCACAAAAGTTTACAATATTTTAGCCGCGTTGTTTAAATGCATTAGCTCATTCGGCTTTCTTACCGGAACTCGAATGATCAGGATCTGAAACGGGAGCCAAAATCCAGACGGAAAACCTGTTTTGTTGATTGGAATTGTTTTAACCACCTTCCCATATCTCTTGGGGCATATTTTTTTCCCATACTGATGCCATATGCAAATCTATTGCCATTTTCGCATCAGCTTCAAACACATACATATTGTATGAGCCATCACCCAGAAATAAGTATTCGAAACGTGTTTGCAACCAGCACGTTGCTTTGTCAATCGGATCCTTCTGCATGGACCATCGATGTGAATTGAAGGTG